CTGCATGATACGGGGACAATAGGGCAGACGCTACAGTGAGAGACTGCGGGACCTGAACCTGTTCAGCCTACACAAGAGAAGGCTGAGGGGGGACCTGGTGACCATCTATAAACTCACTAGGGGAGACCAGAAGGGTTTGGGAGAGACCTTGTTTCCCCTAGCACCCCCTAGCATAACAAGGAATAATGGCCATAAGTTGTTGGAGAGAAGGTTTAGATTAGACATCCGTAAGAACTACTTCACAGTTAGGGCGGCTAGGATCTGGAACCAGCTTCCAAGGGAAGTGGTGCTGGCTCCTGCCCTGGGGGTTTTTAAGAAGAGGCTTGATGCCTACCTGGCTGGAGTCATTTGAGCCCGGTTTTTCTCCTTGCCAGGCAGGGGGTCGGACTTGAAGATCTGTAAGGTCCCTTCCGACCCGACTTCTATGATTCTATGAAACGACAGATTGGGCACAGGGGTCTAGAACTTCTTTCCATTCCAGAAAGTCCTGTAAAATACAAATTTGTATCCAAACTCATTTGTTCAATGTGGTCCTCACTTCAGATAAGTGGAAAGAAGTGGGGTTGGGTCAATGTGGTAATTTCCCTTGCTCTGAGTCCAACAAAATAAAATCAAATTAAACAATCCTAACAAGCCAAATATAACCATGTGTTTGCACAGTATTGCAAGAAGGGAATGAAGAGCTGCAATATTATCTGAGACTGAATTTAAAATGATTGAAATTCCTATCCTAAACTAACAAATGTTTGGTTTGAGACTGCCTTTGTAACCAACCCATTATAGAGAAACAAACAAACAAACAGAAAGAATGTGGTACAAACAATTACCTTTCTAAACACCATGCCACTCATCTGTAAAAACTATAATAATTGCTTCTATTCGGGATAATTTCTGAAGTTTTTGAAAATGCATGAATAATAATGATTTTGCTGAATAGAACTAATGACTTTTCCTTACAACAACCACCATAATTAAAAAACACAGGAAGATCTACTAACAGCTTTGACATTTGCAAATCATTCTTGACACCCAAATTCTTTTGTTTTGCTAGTTTTTAGATGATCCTGTTTTTCTTCTTTTAGTATCTCCTTAAAAAATCATCCCATCATAAACATCTAAGTGGAGTTCAGGTGATTTGAAAGGGTCAGGAACTAAATTGTCTTCTTCCACAATATAGAACCATGAATATAATTTGGAGGACACTTCCCTCCTTCTCCTGTCCCTGTTTCCATGATGCAGTGAATTTGGCTGGTTCATCCGGTTGACAATGCCAAAAATTAATCAGTGGAAGTCTTAAGAAGGACTGCTCTTTACAAGCCAGGTGGTACTCAACCTCTTTACAACTCTTTATGTTCACAAGAAAGTGTTTGTCATATTAGAAAAGTATATATTTACCCACTGAAATAATGTTTGTCTTGTATTTCAAACATTCTGTTCTATTTCTATAAATAACTATAATTTTTGGAGTATTATAAAATTCAGTATTATGAGCACTGTTGTTTCTGGCAATACAAAAAAGTCATTAGCACGGCAAACATTAAATAGTTGATTTATACATGCAGCGCAAATAACTAAGAGTACTTAAAGCAACAAAAGGTAATTAAAATATTGATAATAAAGAGAGAATTTTTTGAATTAAACATTTTTCAAGTTTTGGGTTTTTGCTTTACATATTCATAACTATCTTGCCTAGCTGTAGTGAACTGTTGACAGGAATAAGTAGTAAACATAGTTTTAGAGGCAAAAATGTTAAAGACACAGCCCCAGATCCTCAGCTAATATAAATCTTTCTAACTTCATGGGTTGCAATAGACCTATGATGATATGCCATTTAGTTTAGGGTTTGGCTTTGAATATAACTTTTATAATGAAAATCAGAAAATGTATGTAAGATTTACTGTTGTGTCTACCTAATTTTGACAGAAAGTGTTAATATTAGACTTTAAAAGCTGAGCTACAAATCGCATGTCTAGGAAAAAACAAGTGCGATGTTAGACACATTTTAAGGTATCCAGGTTGTAGTTGTAT